ATTATACTTTTAAAAAAAAATTAAAAATTAAAAAAAAAAACTTATCTTAAACATTTTATAATATTTTTTAAGCTAATATTGGCCGAATTTTTTATAAAATTCGTTCACCCGATCACCGCGTTGAGGTGTCAGCAATCAACTGGGAAAAAAAATGTTTGTATATAAGAAAAAACACTAGGTTAGACGAGACATAATCTTTATAAACCCAGAATTTTTCTATAACTAGCGCCTAACTATTGTATCTACACCGGTTCCTAATATTTACTCTGAAAGAAACTCGGTTCTAAAGATCTCAGCAATCTTAGCAGTAAAAAAAATAATTTTTTATACAAAGGTGCCTTAAAATTAAATCCTCAGATTTATATCTTTGCCAGAGCACCCACTTGTCTAGTCGGGTAATTAACATCGAATACTGGATTTAAATCTATACCAGAGCACCCGCTTGTCTAGTCAGGTGGTTAATATAGAACACAAAGGATTTAACACAGTTTACCAGATTTTACATTTTCCCCAGAGCACCTGCTCATCTAGTTGGGTGGTTAATTCTAAATACTGAAAAACTGGTTAAGGATAGCCTTTGAAGGGTTAGAGTTAGTGTTTAGGATACAACGTTAAGGCTAGGCACGTTCAATATCGAGAAGATAGTAAATATAAAAATTGTTATCATCAATGTGATGATCAGGGTGCGGGTTACGTAATTCGGAACCTAGTCAAACTGATTAGCCAGTCAAAACGTGATGATTAACAATCTTCCATCTTATCTTCCCACTATCATCAATATGCGTATAATGCTTGAAAAAGAAAGGTATATACATGACTCTGGATATAACGAACCTTTCTATAACGAACTCTGGATATAATAAACTCAAAATTTTTGAAATGTCATAATAGTTCAGTATAAAAAGTGGTATAGATTCTAAAAGGAAACATAGTAATTTCTCTATAACGAACTTTTGTTCCAGAATCTTCAGTTCGTTATAGAAAGAGTTGACTATAGTTATTTTTATTATTTTTTTCTCGGTTCTTGTCTTTTGTATTAACTTCCATTAACATGTTATTTATTTAGGTGCTTAGAAATCTTTGATGCCATTGCATATAGATTAATATAATTCGTCCCGAATTAATGGAAATAATTTAGAAATGAATTTTATTCCTTATACTCATGCGGACTTGTGAGTCGACATTAGGGCTGTTAATCGGTCCGTCCTGATTAAAAGACAGCCAGTCTTTTAAAAAACCGAACCAAACTGCGGTCCAGAACCGAATAGGACCGAATAGAGCTAGATCAGACGGGCTGATGATCAATATAATACTTTTTTGCATTTTAGGTAGCGTTTCCACAAAAAATTGTTCATCCCCAGTAATTTTGACCAATCAAAATTTAAGATCAGGTGTCAAAACAAACGTGGTTTGTTTTCTAAGTAAAAAAAGTTACGCGCGTAAAATGAAAATCAGAAAACTGTCATAATTAGGGTTAGATTAGAACAATATAACGCTTACTAGTAAACCATCACAAGAAACATTTTTAATTAGGCCACAGAAGGGGTTTCCTAATTAAAATTTAGAGTTTTTCTTGTTGTTTGTAAAAAAATGAGTTCAATTCGATTTTTATGTTACACCTGATCCTGAGATTCGATTGGTCAAAACTACAGGTGTAAACAAATTTTTGTGGGAGAGCTAGGGCGTCTTTTTTTGAAATAACAATGAAATTAAATTCTTATCAATGCGTACCAATATTGAAAAAACTGATAATCTATAATTTGATAATGGTACATTACTTACATGCGGATCGAGCAGATTACACTTATATTGGATTTTGAACAGTATTCTGTATTTGCATATAGGCGTTGTTTTGGAACACGAGTTTGAGGCAAGCTAATCAAATTATAATTTTTATCATTAAAAATCCTCGGCTAAATTAATCATTAGCTTGTTTCAAAGTCGTGTTCCAAAATAATGCCCATAGGCGTTATTTTGCACAAATACAGTGCAAATTGTAAATCAACTGATCACGCCATTGCTGTCATTAATCCGTTAACAACAGCCCGTTCTCATTATACATTATACGTGGTTTAATCTTGTTTAACAAACTAAGGGGTTTGTAATTGAATTTTAACCAAAAACAACATTTTATAGTTGTTTCAAAATGTGTATTATCATAAGATTTAGTTTACTATTAGGATCGATGGTCCTTTCGGTCCGTCTTAAAACGGACCGGACTGGCCCGGTCCCTGGACGGACCGAAGGACCATCGGTCTGGACCGGACCGATTAACAGCCCTAATTCTAATCAATCTTAGCATGAGCTTTAGTAAGCCAATCATTCTCAACAATTGCTTAATATAAATTCGCATCTGTTACCACAACATCAATAGGATTTTCAACACCAGCAACAATAAAAGGGAATGCTAAAATTTCTCCAACTGCTCTTTTACTTTCTCTATAGACATTGATCATATTTACAGGAGATGGATGGTCTTTTCACTTTTATATCTAAACGTCTTAATAAATGAGATGACACTACATTACCTGAAGACCTGCTGTCCACAATTAATAGAATGGTTTCTCCAAAAACCTAAGCATCACAATATAATGCTGTCGATTTATGATCAGAATGTAAACTTAAGTTATTTTTGATTTTTTTTTTTACAATAGTCATTTGCTTCTGTAATCTTTTAGACAATTTTATCCTCATCGAAGGAATAGTATGTAATAATTGACTGAACGTTATATTAGCTGATTTATTCTGAAGGTTTGCAACAATAGAGTATGGAGACACTAGTGAAGATATTTGTGGAAATATGTCCTGATCATTCTTCCTAGAAGAGATATTAGACTTCTTATTTTTCTTATTAGAGTCCTTATTTTTACTATTATCTTTTCCTTAGTTAATTTGAGTGATAGTTGATTCTAATATAAAATCATCTTGAAGGTACATATTTTCTGTTTCTAACCTAACATGCTTAGTACTCCTAATATTATGTTGTTTAGAATTTCCATTCGCGAAAAAGGAAGTATCATCTTCAGGTATATGAACAAAATTTTGAGTTTCATTTTGAGATTCATTAGGTTGATGTAGGTTAACAATTGAAGTATTTCCTGTTGATTCAGTGTAGTGGCAGTATGACTATTATTATAATTACTATTGTTATTAATGCCATTTTGAGGACCCCTACTACTATTACCATAATTAGAACTTCTGTTATTAGAATTATTAAAATTTTTATTATTAGACTGATAGTTCCTATTTTAGTTAGAATAAGATGCATTATTATCAGGACAATGAGGAGCTATATGGCCTGTACATCCACAACTGAAACAAATGATGTTAGAGTGTACTTGATTTTTAATAAAATTTTTATTTTGATCTTTTAAGTGGTGAAGCATATTATTGAGTGTTTTATTCAATTTTTCAATAGCACTGTCCTTTCCGTTTGTATATCCTATACTGAGAAGCAAATTATGTGAGTATGTAATTGTAGGATGGCCAAGATAATTATTATAATGAGAATTCTGTTTGAAAGTGTTTTCAAAGGCTTTGGTCCTATCATAAGCGTTGTAAAGAATTAGAAGTAAAGAGTGCCACTGCTACCAATAACTCAAAACGTATTCCATTAACAAAAATTTGCACTTTAGCTGTATTTGAATATCGATCACCTCCTACTTCAATACATCTAAAGAGCTCAACTATAACTGTATGATAAGTATCAACGTCTTCAAGAGGATATTGTTTTCTAGTAGATAACTTAAAGAACTATTTACTTTCCAAGGCTGGAGTCTGAAATTGAGTAACGAATTCAGGTCAAAAACTAAGATTACAGTTATGAAAGTCATTCTACCAATCAATATTTGGGCTTGATTTCTTCGAGTTAACCATCAACTTGCTGCAGGACCTTTCAAATAAGGGATAATAACAAGTAATTTTCTAGTGTCAGTAACTTGGTTGGCTGCAAAAGCTTTCTTCACATCCTTTAACCAAGAAATAGAATCTTGTTCTTCACCAGCGAACTCTGGGTTATGACACTATATTATTTTCTTTAACAGGGGCAGCTACATTTACTTGAGGTGCAGGAGCATGCCTAATTTGATTAACAAGGTTAGCAATTTAATCAGCAAGATTATTAAGAGCTCTAGCTTGATCTGGAGGGTTTCTAGCCATATTATCTTCAGAACTTTCAGAGGATGAATTGTTATTCAGAACTTCAGTTATAGTGTCTTCATCAGACTCCTTCCAAGGTTTATTAAGTCTTCACCTTCAGATCCTATTTCTTCAATTCTATTTCCAGCAGCTTCTTCTTGAGGATCGTCAGGATCTATGTTGAAATGATCATACTGTTGATACGCTTGAAAAAATGTGTCAGATACTTCCTAATAGCTTAGTGAATTCACTAGATATCGAAAACTAAAAATAAGGTTGTGAATGGTATTGTCAGATAAATTATTATTAGTTGATTATCAAGGTATTCAAAAAGTCTGATGGTTGCTTGAGAATAGTTGGTAATGGGGTAATTATTATTAAGCCAATTTGCAAAATTGACAAAATGAAAAGATAGACGTTCAGTTATGGGATAACAAACTAGACATGAAAAATCAGGAAAATTTTAATGAAAATAATTAATAATTTCAGGGTTATTGAGGACATTCTATAATATCTATCATGTAACTGATTTAATCCTAAATGAATATCGAAGTTATTCATAGGTAAAAGTAAATTTTATAGTGTTATCTACACAATTGGCACCATATGTTACTATCTAGCTTTAGGAGAGCGATAAGCAACATTGATCATAGCAAACTTGGAAATAAGATAGAATAATAAATTTATATATTAAACAAGGTATCGAAATTATGTAAATTTGATATTTATTAAATATGTTTGTTATATGATTAATCAAGGGTTTCTTTATTATAGCAATAAATAATGAAATAAATATAAATAAATAAGTAATAAAATAATCCAAGCCAAAGTTACAAGTCAATTCAGTTCATCGAATTGAGTCTAGAAAGAGTTTAT